GTGCTCTTCCGATCTTCTACCATGTCTTCCCAAATAATTTTTGATTTAGTCGGAATACTTCTAACTAAGACGTATAATTCGTGATTCATATTTATTGGATCAGTATCACAACACAATTTGTTCAACGTTTCTTGTAATGGAAGTGGTAAATGAAAAGTTCTACCCTTGATCTTTGGAATCATTTGCCTCTGAGGTATTTTCTTGTTCATAACATTTCCCATTTTAACGACAGTTTGAAACGCTTTAGCTCTCTGTATAAACATCTTTTCAAATGTGTTAAGAGATGATATAATTTCAGGCACATCACTTACGCCGAGATTATTCAAAATACAATACGCAGGCATTTGACCGTTACGAAATTTTCGTTCACAATAATCACATATATATTGTAGACTAATTTTTTGTTGCTTTAAATGCATCAATAAATCTTTCCAAATAGGGATAGCTATTTCTGTTTTCAGCTTATTAATTTGAGAAACATTTCTTTTATAACAAAGTCTCTCACAAGATACGCAAACATGACGCGGTAAATCCATTGAACGTTTAGTAAAAGCCTTAAATGCATTACGATACTTAGCAATAATATTATCTTCGCTCAGAATTGTATCATTCCTTTGATATTTATACCTTTCTGAAATTGCTTGCGCAGAAGCTACAATTTTATTCAAATTGTAACCAAATCGGTACAAATTAACGCTTTATCTAGATTTAATATTTGGCGATAAAAGTTTGTTAATTTATATGTTAAACGCTTAATATTTCTGACTTTTGGAAAATGAGGAGATAATAATTGAACCGAAAGAAACATGCCTTCACAAATACTCGGATTAATATAACAGCCGTGCGTATGACCCAATTTTGCATTTGAAATATTTATTGTACATTTATGTATAATGTGCATTAATTCAAATATTTTTCTAAAAGTATATGTTTGCATGGTATAAAGAAATTTTTGATAACGATCGATTAAAAAATTATCAATTTTGCATGATGTATTGCACGACCACGATTTCTTTCTTTCTACTTTTAACAAAGGTAAAATATTTACAACTTGTCCTTTTGCATTTAATACCAAAGGTTGCGACGAAGTTACATTACAGGAATATGTGGAATCCACAAAATAATTTTCAGAAGAAGATGTATGTTTGGATACACCACATAAAGCATGTATTTTTTCAACATGCGTGGAACATTCACTGGCAAGAGTTAAACATACTTCTGATTTTTTTTTAAGAGACTCTAATGTTTTATATATCTTGCGCAAATAATAATTTCTAACATGCATACACCAACGTATGATTTTTTCAGCTTCTAATTGTTTTTTAGTATTGTCTTTAATATTAAGTTTCTTTAAAATATTTACAGTAAACTTAGTTACAGAACCACGAATCGCTAAAGCCTTCTCAGGCCAGAACTTTGTATACTTTCTACCAATTTTTTTAGCAATATCAGATCGGAAGAGC